GAGTCAGTCAGTTGAGCTCTTCATGGACCTGAGCCTCAGTTTCCTCCTTCAGGAGTTAAGGATTAGTGTGTGGGGGGGTGCTGGCTCAGTCTGTAGAGTATGTGATCCTAGTTCTCAGGGTTGCAAGTTCAAGGACCTCCCCACCCCCTCGCCTTGGCTGGAGAGCTTACTTAAAAAAAAAAAAAAAAGGAGCTGCAAAGATTAAATGAGGTCATACAAATAAAGCACTCAGCAGAATGCCCCCTGCCCCCCACACCAGAGTGTACTCAGTACTAGAAACTTAAAAAAAAAAATTTTGAGGGGGCGCCTGCGTGGCTCAGTGGGTTAAGCCTCTGCCTTTGGCTCAGGTCATGATCTCAGGGTCCTGGGATGGAGCCCCGCATTGGGCTCTCTGCTCAGCAGGGAGCCTGCTTCCCCCTCTCTCTCTGCCTGCCTCTCTGCCTACTTGTGATCTCTCTCTGTGAAATAAATAAGTAAAATCTTTAAAAAAAAAAAAAAAAACTTTTGAGGGACGCCTAGGTGGCTCAGTGGGTTAAGCATCTGCCTTCGGCTCAGGTCATGATCCCAGTGTCCTGGGATCCAGTCCTGCATCAGGCTCTCTGCTCAGCCGGGAGCCTATTTCTCTCTCTGCCACTCTGCCTGCTTGTGCTCTCTCTGACAAATAAATAAATAGATCTTTTTTTAAAAAAATGTGTATGTAAATGCCTCCTCAAAAGCCATTAAAAAAACTTTTGAATTCAAAGTTTGTGGATGTTTTTTTTTTTTCTTGAACACACATAGGTGGCCTTCACAGTCTTCATAACTTCCTTGATGAGAACATCCGAAGGATCACGTGCGTGTAAACCCCCTTGTTCCTTGGCCCTCCGCAAGGGGGCGACACGGCTCCTTAGGCCCCGCGGGAGACCTGCGCCGGAGGCTCAGGTTGCCGGCCGCTTCCGGTGGCGCCAGAACTGTTCTCCGAGTTTTGCCAGACAATCTTTGGGCTAGAATCCTAGGGGCGGGATGGCGGGGTCAGAGGGTCCACGTACATGTGACTTTGCTAGAAACTGTCACTTGCCCTCCGCTGAGTTCGGACCCCTCGCATTGTCACCCGCGGGGCGCGGCAGCACCTGCTAGCCCACAGCCCCAGCGGCCAAGGGCGGCCGGAATTCGAGATGAGTGCCGACCTGCGAGCCAAGAGATGGTGGTTCACGGTTGCTTTATCATATTGTGAGCAAGGCTGAGCATCTTTTGACATGTTTAAGAGACCGTGTGCACTTCTTTATGAATCTTTATTTTTAGAAGTTCTATGCGAACCATTGTAATACGCTTTACAAATATATCTTCCCAGCTTGTAATTTACATTCTCACTTTGCTAATGGTAGCTTTCTTTTTCCATGCACAAGATTGTTTTGTTTTTTAATTTCAACGTAGTCAGATTTGTTAGTCTTCTCCCTCACTGTATCTAGATTTTGAAAGAGGAGCGCTTTCCTCACTCCTGGGCTCCCAGGCATCCCCTCATTTAACAGTTTCTTCTAGTTCTTGGACGGTTTTCCTTCTTCCGGCAGCTGCAGCACCACTTCGGGAGAGATCCATCTTTCCCTGTTGGTCGGCTGGATTTTTAATTCTGTTTGATTGGTCTGTGTAGTCAAGGGTTAGTTCTCCCCACCCAACCCAAACTGTTCTTCATTTTCAGGGTTTTCCTGGTTATTCTGGCTTGTTTTCCCAAATGATTTTGATAATAAGAATAGTGTCTAAGACAAGGGCAAATGTCCATAAAAAACAAAAATACGGTAAGGGAGGGGCGCCTGGGTGGCTCAGTGGGTTAAAGCCTCTGCCTTTGGCTCAGGTCATGATCCCGGGATTGGGATCAAGTCCCGCATCAGGCTCTCTGCTCAACAGGGAGCCTGCTTCCCTTCCTCTCTCTGCCTGCCTCTCTGCCTATTTGTGATCTCTGTCAAATAAATAAATAAAATTTAAAAAAAAATACGGTAAGGGAAAGAGTAAGCAACAGGCCCACACAGCATGTATACACATTTTTCCCCTTATAGGTAGATATTGTAAGGAGGTTTAAGAAACCCAGAATGTTCGTGTGGTCCTGTCTCAATAATATGGTTGTGGGTAGCATTGTCTTATTGGCACAAACCTTGGTGGAAAAATCTTGCCGAAGGCCACCACCAGTCTGCCTCTTCTTCCTTCATACCCTGCCACTCTGGAGATCTTGGCACCCCTCTGGACCATGGCACTTCTTTTTAAGAGGGAGTGTGTTACTGAGGGGTGGGGCCCACAGGTGGCTGGACAGAGCATCTTTGGCTGATTCCCAACCCAGCCAGCCCCCTTCAGCCTAGAACTGGAAGGAAAGAGCTGCCAGAACAAGCGGGCCAGAGGCCGGGTGGGCCAGCGCAGGATGCGGAGGGGCTGGGGGGCAGCTGGGAGAGGGCAGGGGGCGGAGGGGGACACCTGCGAGGGAGGGGACAGCCCCGAGGCACCCCGCCCGCAGCCCTCACAATGGCAGTCGGCCCAGTATCACAACCCCACAGGCAGGAGGCAAGCAGTCAAACAGCGGCCTGGAAGCCCGGCAGGGAGCAGCCTCCTCCAGGGGCAGGTCTCTTTGTCTGCAGACCTACTTACAGCAACCCCTGAGGCAGAGGGCTGGTTTCCTGGGGGATGGAAAAGCTCCTGCTGGCGGAGCGGCCTCAGACTGGAGACCCACAGGAGGCCACCGTGCAGCTGCGGGCTTGGGGCCCCAGGTGCTGCGGGGAGCTGCGGCCTGGCTGCCAGGAGATGGAGTTCTCTGTGAGTACCGAACAGATGCTCATCTTCTTCCTAGCTGTCTGGTTCTTCTACTTCTTCTTCCTTCAAGACTTGTTCTGAGCAGCCCTCCCTCCCACTGTCCCGGGGCTGGCGGGCCAGAGCCCCGAGCGAGCTGGCCCAGTCCCTGAACAGAAGCACAGAGCGGCCAAGGACTGAAGCCTTCCTTAGACCCGTGGGGAGGATGGCCAGGACGTCAGGTGGCCCTGCTCCTCGGAGATGCAGATTTGGGGCCCAGCCTCTTGCTCTTGGACAGCTGCACACCCCACACAGGCTTGGTGTCGAGTACACAACAGGGGAAAGCGGAAGACGTGTGCCCCCAGGCGACCTGTGGCCGGGAGATGGGGCAGCAGGCCACATCAAGGCTTTGTGCTCCGGAGTCTTCCCAGAGTCAGTGGGGCCCAATTCCGTGCTCCCTGTGGAGCTGTTCTGTGCCTGGCCCGGGGCGCTGCTGAGAAATAAACTGCCCTCTGAGCCTCGCTAGCAGCAAGAGAATTATTATTCCCATTTTCTAGGGGAGCGAATCAGCCTAGCAGCGCTTAGTGCTATTTCGGGCAAGGGCGGAAAAGACCATATCCTTTTGGGGGGCTCTTCAGAATAAGATAAAGGGGCACCTGGCTGGCTCAGTCGGTAGAGCATGTGACTCCTGATCTTGGGGTTGTGAGTTCAACCCCCACATTGGGTATAGAGCTTAAAAAACAGTAAGATAAAAAGGGATGCATGTCCAAGGATGTGGTCGTGGCTCCACCTGGGCACAGGCACAGGAACTGTCCTCCCCAGTGGCTCCCAAGCCTGGTTTCCCACCAGGGCCATCTGGGGAATAAAAGCTGGTTTGAAATGCAGATCACCAGGCCCCTCCACAGGTGGGGAGGCAGCTCGGCCCTTACCTGGGCATGCCTCCTGCAGAACCCACGGCGGGGGGTGGGGGGAGGAGCAGCTGCCTCTGGCCCCCTGGGGTGAGGCAGACAGGATTCCACTCCCCCCAGGGGAGGATTCCTGAGTGGTGAACCTGCTCCCGAGGTCTGAGTGGGCTGCTACCCTACCCCAGGCCCCCGCAGGCTGAGGACATGAATGGCCCCACCCCTAGCACGGCTTCTGGGGCAAATGCTGGGTGGGGCTTTTCTTACAAGATGAGGAGGCAAAGAGGATAAAGCAAGAATCTGGAATAGCTTAGACCTTCGATGTCAAAGAGCACCCAGGAGCCTCGCTGGCTAAGAGGAAAGCCCACCAGCGCAGACCTTGAAGTCTCAGGTGAGGCTGTGTGAAGGGAAGAGCCGCAAGGCGGCAGAGGGAAGGAATTTCTTCTGGGGACACACAAATCCCCTAGGAATCTCTAGCCCCACCCCCAGATCTCTAAATTCCTGGCTCTGGACTTGAGTCCAAGAATCAGAATTTTTAATTAGCTGCCAGTAAGACTATACCTCTGCCTCCTTCCCTGACACTGCCCTGGGACAGAAGCGGCAGCAGGCCTTTGGGGGGTGGGCAGAGAGCAGGCAGCTGGGATTTCAGGGCAGCTTGAGGCCCTTCAGCCTGCCCACAGACTCACAGGGGAGCGGAGAAGTGCCCGGTGCACCTTCTCACAGATGTTCTTGCAGGGACTAGAACCTTCCACGCAGTCAACAGCTGTAGGAGTACAGGTTACCCTGGGACTCCACAAACTAAACTCTGCATGAAAAGAACGCAGCTTACTCGTTCAAGTACTTCTGACAAGGGCCCTGTGTGGCAAAGCTCTGTCGGCCTCAGAGGGCAGAACTGCCAGCTGGGCTGAAAGCAGCTCAGTGGGTGCCCAGCCTCCCCACTCACTCCCGCACCCATGTGCAAACCCTCACACGTCAGATGCATCTGGAAACGTGACTTCTCATCCCTTCAGGCCACGGACCTGAATTGCAGCCTGACTGGGTTGCCATGACAGCTTGAGGCTGCCCTGTGACAGCCCCACTTTGTGTGGGTGCCGGTGGGGGACAGACGTATGACGACAGACAGGCACTCTGTCAGGAGGAAGCCACAGCGGACAGACGTCAACCATCGCTTTATTAAGGCTCAGAGTGGTCTGCCAGTCGGGGGCTGAGTCATTCACTGAGACCCTGCCACCAAGCGCTCCCGGGTGACACCGAAGGCAGAGGCTATCTTCGAGATCCCGAGCCACCGTCTGTTGTGCTCCACTCACACCCACCCTGCAGGGCCGGTGTGTTTGCGGGCAACGTGGGGGGGGGGCCGGCTGACTCTCACAGCCCCTGAGCTCTGGCAGGGGTGGGGGGTGACAGGGAGGCTCAGGAAGGCAGGGATAGGTCCCCCATCCCTCCCAGCCCAAATTATGGCTTTGTTATCCTATTGCCACTTGAGCAGGAGAAGAGTGCCCCCTTCTACCCCACACTCTGGCCCTGGCCTGGGTGCTACACTGTGGAAGGAGACAAAGGGAAAGCCCCTGGGGAAGAAAGGGCCCCTCTGTGCTTGGGACCTGGCCAGACCTCAGGGATTCTTGACCCCATTCCCTCAGTGACTCCCCTCGGTGGGTCTTCTCAGGCTGAGGCTGATCACTCAGAAGTGGACCCGCAGCACGTCCTGACTGGCAAATGGCTGCTGGCAGGCTGTGCAGGCCATGGGCAGGGAGCGTTGCTTCTCGCCCAGGCACGGCCGGCATAGGAGGTGGCCACAGGGAAGCTGGTACACCGGCTCCTTTTTGAAGTAGGGAGAAAACACTCTTTTGCAGGAGGTGCACTCGGGGCCTGGGACGCTCCCAGGCTGCTCTGGTAAATTAGGGAGGAAAAGAGGCCAAGGTTAGGGAAAGGCGCCCCCTGCCCCCTGGGTCAGGCTCCGTCCCAAAGGCCAGGCAGATGCCTGGAGTGGGACAAGAAGTTTCCTCACCCTCCACCCCTGCCGCAGCGTGGCTTTATCCCTCCCGGGGCCACTTCGAACGGATCTGGGAGGACAGGGTCTTGGGGAGCCTGGGAGGCCTCCCCGCAATGATTAAATCTTGGTGCTCCAATGGGTGCTCAAGAAAGAACTGGCTTCTGCAGGCAGGTCACACCGAGCCCTCCCTCCTGGTCTCCGAGCAGGATTTACTTTCCACTGGGAAAGGCTGCCAAGGTCAGAGTGGGGCACAAGCTCATCTTGACAACAAAACTAAGAGGCAAGAGGCCACAAGACAAGTAAAAAGCAGAGCGGGGTCAGGTGCAGCAAGGCCACCCAGGTCCGGGGAGGAAGGGGGGCACCAGAGGGGTGGGGCTGAGGTCTGTCTGCAGTGGAACTGCCCACTGGGCCCGGCATCTGCTTCTCTTCAGCCCGGCAGTACCCCCCTGAGCTGCCAATCCCCTTCCTGTGCTGCAGGCGCTCTCTTTCCTGGCTTCCCTCAGGAGGGTGCCTCAGTCCACACCCCTCTAGAGAAGGCCAGGGGGGCCTCTTGGGGGAAGAAAAGGGACTAGCCATGCAGAGAAATGGATAGCAAGTACAAAGAATGGCTGGTCCAGAACCAAACCAAACCAAGAGAATAGCTGGTCCACCAAAGAAAGACAGGACCCAGAGGTGTGATGTATGAGACTGGCTTCGGGCGAGACTGCAGTGGGGGGCAGGCCGGGGCACGCAAGACTTCACAGGCAGCAGGAAGATTCCAGGCTCAACCGGATGCCCTGAGAGGTATCTAAGAAGTACAGTGCCACAAGCTGGCAGACAGCACACGAAGACCCCCTCCGGCCCCTGGGTGCGACAGGCAAGGGTGGCTGCCAGGGAGCCGCAGGGCTGCTGCAGGGCGTGGGGCCAGGGGGCAGCAGAGAACAGGGCTCTGAGGCCCACCCGGAGGAGTACCAACAAGACTTGAGGATGAATGAGTATCAAGAATGTTGAAGGAAACCAATGATGATGTCCACATTACAGACCTGACCAAAGGGCAGAAGAATCTGCTCTTTTTTTTTTTTTTTTAAAGATTTTATTTATTTATTTAACAGAGAGAGAGATCACAAGCAGGCAGAGAGGCAGGAAGAGAGAGAGGAGGAAGCAGGCTCCCTGCCCAGCAGAGTCCGACGCGGGGCTCGATCCCAGGACCTGAGATCACGACCTAGGCTGAAGGCAGAGGCCTTAACCCACTGAGCCACCCAGGCACCCTGAGGCTGCTCTTTATCAGCACTGGGGTTATGGTAGGTGCAGGGAGAGCTCTGGAGGGCGTTTGCAGTTCTGAGTTAGAATTTCACCCAAGAAATATCCATGAGTTTCCCATGGGGAGGGTCCAGGCAGCTGTCAGGGAGGCTGGGGTCTGAGCTCCAAGGAGAAGGGGCTACAGGTGAGCAAGGGCAGTCACCGGCCGATGGGCTCTTGCTGTGATGACAGAGAGGACAGAGAAGAGGGTCCAGGACCAAAGTCTGGAAGAGGCAGAAGAGTCAGAAGTGGAAACTGCAAAGGGATGGTGGAAAAGGGAGAAAAAGAGTGTACCATCTGGAAGACCAAGAGAAAGGGAATTTTGGGAAGGCGGGACTGGCTGGCCACATTAGACACTGCTGAGAGGGTGAGCGACCACTGGGTCTGAAGTCCATGGAAACCACTCGTCACCTGGACAAGAAGGTTCTGGGGCCCCGCCAGGGTGGAAACATAATCAGAGAGATAAGAGGGGTGGGGATAAGAAGCAGAAGAGGTAAGATGGCCCAGGATCCGGACAAGAGAACGGCCCGGCTCTGGATGGGCAACAGGAATCGAGCGTCCGCCTTATCATGAGCTTCCTCAGCCTTCATCCCATAAAAACTGTCCCAGCATTCCAGCAGATTCTCTCACTTTATATCCTAGCTGATTCTATCTAATGTGGTCCCAGATTCAGGGTAGGCAAAAACTGGCTCAGTAAGCCGCCCAAGTTCTTTGCTGAAACACCAGGAAAAATGTTGACAGGAAGGGACGAAGAGGACAGCCCCAAACTCCCTCCACAGTTACATGAAATAAACTACCCAGGTGTCAGATGGGAGACAGACTAGATATGAAAACTAAACAAAGAAGGACAAACGTGAAACACCACAGAGCTGCCAAGCCCTAAAACCATAGAATTACTAAGACTTAACCAAAGAAAGCCTTTCTTGTGAAGAGTTACACTTCACAGGAGCCCCTCAACTCCCCCTGGAAAAGGAAGGAGGCCAGGGTCTCCGTGAGCCCGGGTGCCAGGGCTGAGGAGGCCAGGTATGGCGGTTGGCAGAGCCCCAGAGGCAAGGCCCAGCCTCCCGTCCCAGGGCTCCCAGGACATAGATGGGGCCTTGGTTACCCGAGCAGGAGCCTGGCCTCCAGGAGGTGCTGCTTTCTCTTGTGCCCAGGTGCTGGAGCTGCCCCCTGGTCAGCCGAGCTGTGAAGGAGGGCATGGAGCCAAGGGTCGACGTCAAGGCAACTTCCAAGCTTTGTGACAGCTTCTGCTCATGGGACACTGGACCTGACAAGAGATGCACAGACCACAATATCCAAAGAGAGGTTCAGCAAAAGAGAAGAGCAACCATAAGTCCGTGGAGGGCTGACTACTCAAATGGCACTTCCAACTTCAAGTGGACACAAATGTGAAGCACTCCCCCCTCCCCCCGCAATGTCTGCCAGTGGACTGTGATGACCGAATACCAGCAGGTAAAGCCCCACCCAGCTTTCCAGGGTTCCTGGGCTCTGCTCTAGCTTTCCTCCTCCCGGACAAACTGCTGGCCAAGCCCAGGCCACCTGGTGGCTCCCCTGTGGAACTGCACCACACTTTCTGCAGGTCTTGCAAGCCAAGGAAATGACTGGGCAAAGGCCCAGCTTTGTGCCCCTGCTCCCTGTCCACTCCTTCACCAGCAGCCTTTCCTCGTCTCCTCCATTCTGGGGCCCCCGCCACTCCGCAGGGTCACTGGCTTGCACCTCTGGGCACTCGTGTCCTCTCCCTCCTAATGAGTAAAGCAAAGTGGTCATTACCAAGTGGAATAACAGAGACCTCACTCGGCCGACACCCTCTCGGTGTGGTCCACAGAAAGCCCACCAGTGGGCTGAGGGTGAAGACACCAGGGAAGGGGAACAGCTGACACACTATGACCGTGGCTGTGGAAGACCCTGAAGCAGGTGTCCCTGCCAAACCACGCCCAAGAAAGAACCCAGAGACCCGCCTGGTAGCAGGGTTTACAACACCACCCTACAGCAGGGAGTAGAAGGCTTTGTCTACAGTTTGTAGGACTTGCTTGGGGCCCTGAAGCATAGGTCTGCACCATCCTATGTCACCAACAAATCTGTCAAGGCCAACACCACCAGAGACCTCAGAGACATCAGGGTCTAAGGATCTTTCCTTGTCTCACCCTGCTGTACCTCAAATGCTTCCAGGAGTTTCTGAGAGTCATGTTAACTAAAACTTATACTCAAAACCAGATGTAACCTTTTAAGCATGCTATTTACCTAGGGTTTTTATAGTAAGAGAGGAAATTAGAAGAATGATAAAATCTAAACAGACTAATTTTCATAAGGAAAATAAAGTGTCAAAGAGCTACTACCTCGAAAAGCACGTGGCATGGACAGTCACGGGCCAACTCTACCAGATATATATAGGAGCAAATGATCCTGATACTATTATAGTGTTCTAAAGTTTAGTAAAGGAAAATTTCTTAATTCTTCATATGGAGCAAATAAATCTTTGATAACAAAACACAACCAAAGTTGGCATGTGCCCATGCATACATACACACATACACGAGAGTCCAAATTATCCAAAATAAAAAACACTAGCAAACAGATCCAAGCTGAACATTAAAAGAAGCATGACCAAATAGAGTCTCTTCCAGGAATGTAATACTGGCTCAATATTCAGAAGCCTATTAATGTATTTTTTCACATTAAAAGAGCTCAGGATGAAAAATCATAGCATCCTCTCCATTGATACTGAAAAGGCATTAGACAAAATTCAACCATGAATCTTCGGTTAAAAACAAATAAACAAACAAACCATCACCGAACAAAATAGGAACCAATGGTGTGGGAGAGTGTCTGAAATGGTTCCCAATGAGACCCACCTCCAGATACTCCTACCTTGGGTACCCCACTACCCCCTCCACTGGAGTGTGGTCTGGACTTTGTGACTTGCCTCTAACAGAATACAGCAAACATGACAGGATGTCGACTGGGTTATACAAGACTGTGACTTCCATCTTGTTTGCACACACTATGACCATGGCTGTGGAAGACCCTGAAGCAGGTGTCCCTGCCAAACCACGCCCGGATTCCTGACCAGAGAAGCTATGAGATCACATGTGCATGGTGCTTTACGTCAGTATGTGTGGGGCGAATTTAAGGTGGCAAAACAGAGAGCACAGGGCGACGGTGCCAAGCGTCACCTGGGAAGCACTGGGATGACCATGGACATGGATGTAGAATGCGAAGTACCTGTGGAGCAGTCCATATGTGTCAGGCCCAGCTCACTGGCAGCTTTCATTTTCTTAGCGGTGTGCTCTGAGGTAGTGGGTGAGACCAGAAGGCTTGTGGTAGAAAAACAGGAAGCGTCGATACCGAGGCTCCCGTCTGGGGCGCGTTCGGCCTGCTCCATCCTCCTCTTCCGAGAGGGCAGAGCAATGGAAGACGGTGTCACTGCCAATGCAGTCTGTGCTCTCCCGAGCAGATGGCAGCCAGGGATGGAGTGCTGGAGCAGAAAATGGTCGATCCGGGCCTTCAGGGAGGGGTGAGGCAGGGGCTGGGAATGTGGGGTAAAGGCTACCCCCGTGAAAGGGTCGCTGGGCACGCGGCCCCACACGGCTTCGCTGCGGTTACACTTCTCCAGCGTGCTCTGGTCAATGACCTTGCCTGAGGGCAGCAGCATGGGGCAAGGCATGATCTCCAGGGTGATGGGATCCAGGAACTCCTCGGGCACATCCCGGATCACCTCAGCAAGCTCCTGCAGGCTGGAGGGGGCCTGCTGGCCCTCAGACAGGCCTCCAGGATCGCAGTCACTCTCCATGGGCAAGGCTGGGGCCTGCAGAGCGAGGTCCTGAGGGAGACTCTCAGAGGCCAGCAGCAGGACGCTGTCTATCACCTCCTGAGAGCAGGTTTTAGCCGGCTGGCCCCACACTTCCAACCGTTTGATGCAAGGGATACCACTGCCTGTCACGTGGGTGATACAGATCTTGAGATGGGCCACGTGGCTAAGAGAAAGGCCCCCTTTATTCCAGAGCTCCTGTGTCACGACAGCGGGAGAGGGGAGTGTGGCCTCCATTGGGCCAAAAGGTGGCCTGGCCTTGAAGCCCCTGTGGCTAAACACCACTTGGCTCTGGTTTTTCAGTAAGACTTTGCCTACCAAGGTGAATGCCTCCTTGTCCGGGATGGATGGCTCGGCCAGGCCCAGGGTCCGGCACTCGGGGGCATTCCAGGATGCTCTGCTGGACGAGGCAGATGTATACATTTCCAGGCCTGTGACATTCTGGCCTCCCCCCACTGCGAGGTCTATGTTAATCCTACAGATTTCCACACTGAAGGGAAAGGAAACTGTCACATAGACTGGTGGCTTAATGAAATATTCTGTCCTAAAACCACGACTTCTCTTTGTGAGGTCTTCAGAGATGAGATTTTCTACTTCGTAACCATCAGCTGATATCTAGAGTTAATGACAAACATGAGATGCATTCATTTGATGCGATCCAAACAAAGACAACTAGTTTTCAAGAACTTGTCACTTCTAAGAAAGTATTAACTTCCTCATTAAAATGGCCTCTATTACACCAAATTCTCCTGTTTTTTGGGGGGTGGAGGAGGAGGCATTCAAGGTCAGGTCAAAGGTCAAGGGCAATTTGTTCCCAAGTACAGCCCATCCTTAAAAAATATAAACACTGAGACGCCTGGGTGGCTTAGTTTTTAAGCCTCTGCCTTTGGGTGGGGTCATGAACCCACCAGCCTGGGATCAAGACTCGCATTGGGCTCCCTGCTCTGTGGGAAGCCTGCTTCTTCCTCTCCTACTTCCCCTGCTTGTGTTCCCTCTCTGTCTCTGTCAAATAAATAGGTGGAATCTTAAAAAAAAAAAAAAAAAGAAAGAAAAAGAAACAAGCGACAGAACTGTTCAACCCAACCAAAAATCCCTTCAAAATAAAAGGGCAGATAAACTAGTGGTTTTTTTTTTTTTTTTTTTTAATTTAAGAGGATGAAACCATAGTGTCTTATGGGAAAACAAAGATATTCATTAAAGTTCTTAATTTTGTATTTGGACTCTACCAATTATAACAGTTTCCCTAGCAAGGCACAATAAACAATATTCTGGTACATCTATGATTGTTGGAACTTGGTTGAAAAAATGTGTGTTCAGAAATAAGGACCACAATACTATGGGAAATCCAGAAAAGTGAATATGCTATGGGGGTGTGAGTATGGGTAACTTTTTCCCATCTTAAATTTCTAGTATTTGTTATAACTGGTAGAGATTTTAAGATACAAGTACCCCCCCCAACCCCGGGCATCTGAAAGTTCACATCACACCACTTTGCTTTTAAAGACCTACATTAATACCTGTTTTTGCTAACCAAAAGAAATCCAGAATTCAGAGAATTTTTGCTTTTACAAAAAAAGTCATTATTACACTAACATAGGTCTTTTGTAAAAGCAAAGCAGCCTAAAGTGAACTTCTGGAAAGCAGGGGATACTCTTCATCTTATGCCATTTCAGCTTATGAAAGGTTTCACAGGAATATTCTTTTCAGATAGCAGGGAAGGGCGGGGGCAAGGGGGGCGGAATCTGTATCTCTGTTGGAAGAAATCAGTTTCACAGTCTGGGAACCTGAAATAGTATGCTGTGTGCAGAAGGTCCAAATTAAGGGAGGGTTCAGATTTCCCCTTGCAGTATCCTTACTCCTTGTTCTGGGCTGTGGAAAGATAACCGCCTTTGTACAAAAGGGGAAGCAGCTTAATTCAAGTAATAAAGAAGGAATCCAAATAACAAATACAAGCCATTATTTCTCGTGTGAGAAGTAAATGGGAAGAATGGCAGGGGAGAGACAGTAGCTCTCTACCTTCACCAGGACTTTGAGCGGGTTTAAAATTTATCATCAGAGGTAGGAGCACAATGAACATGACCCTCCAGAAAAATGACCCACAGCTCACTTTCTAACAGTGCTGTATGACTCTAGAGGGGCAGCCTGACCCATGCTTACCTAAGCACCACCTGGTGGGATCTAAAACAGAGAAGGTTGCCATGACGCCCAAATCAAGTCAACATACACAAGGTAGAAGTGGGGAAAAACATGAAAAGCAGCCATCTTATACTTGTGTGCATACTTATTTTGTTTACCTTGTTGCAATAAATTCTTGGTCTGAACTGTGGGAGGCAAAGATTGATGACCATCTTTGTGGCTGAAAGGGTAGCTTCCAAGCATCAGAAACAGCCTTCAATAAAAAACAAAAATTGGTATTAGACAAGTTAAAGTTCAATTCTAAACTTTAAGGAGTTGATTCCTAAGGGAAGGGGCGCCTGGGTGGCTCAGTGGGTTAGAGCCTCTGCCTTCAGCTCCGGTCATAATCCCAGGGTCCTGGGATCGAGCCCCGCGTCAGGCTCTCTGCTCAGAGGGGAGCCTGCTTCCACCTCTCTCTCTCTGCCTGCCTCTCTGCCTACTTGTGATCTCTGTCAAATAAATAAATAAAATCTTTAAAAAAAAAAAAAAAAAAAGAGAGAACCAAACAGGGTAACAAAGACTTCCACGCACACGATCATGGTCTCATCGCATCGTACATGTGATGCTGGGGAAGAATGAGTCACCGAAAAATTGCAGAGGAGCCTTTTTTTTTTTAGGTTTCATTTATTCAAGTAATCTCTACCCCCAAAGCAGGGTTCGAACTCACAACCCTGAGATCAAGAGTCCCACGCTCCACGGACTGAGCCGGCCAGAGGACCCCAGAGAGGAGCTGTCTCTTGCAGCCTGTGCAGCTTGGCCAAGACTGACAGCTGGACCCTGTGGAGGCAAGGGACTGTCAGCTCTGCAAGGGGCTCCCTACGGGAAAGGGAGGGTCAAAAGTGGCAGAGCAAAGAGAACAGAACTACTCAGCCAGAGGGTTCCAAAAAGAACAGGTCACAGAAAATAGTCATAGTGGTAGGCATCTTTGTCATTTAACACCTGTTACTGCACTTTCATCTTCTTATTAAAATGAAAACAATCAGAAGAGTCCGAAACACCACCACTGAGAAACAGAAAATCTTAGACTTGGAAAGCACCTTAAAAGGACATCTAACCTGGAGCACCTGGGTGGCTCAGTGGGTTAAGCCTCTGCCTTCAGCTCAGGTCATGATCTCAGGGTCCTGGGATGGAGCCCCGAATCGGGCTCTCTGCTCAGCAGGGAGCCTGCTTCCCCTTCTCTCTACCTGCCTCTCTGCCTGCTTGTGATCTCTCTCTGTGTATCAAAATAAATAAATAAAATCTTAAAAAAAAAAAAAAAAGGTGGCAAAAAAAGAAAAAAAAAGGACATCTAACCCAGACAGCAATTTAATGAGCAATGTCTAGGCTGGGGGAGAATGGATGAAGGTGGTCAAAAAGTACTAACATGCAGTTACAAGTTCTGAGGAGGAAATGTATAGCATGGTGACTATAGTTAACAACACTTCACCGTGTATTTGAAGGCGGCTGAGAGGAGACCTTAAAAGTTCTCAACAAAAGAACAAAAGCTGGGGCACCTGTGTGGCTCAGTGGGTTAAGCCTCTGCCTTCAGCTCAGGTCATGATCTCAGGGGCCTGGGATCGAGCCCTGAATCGGGCTCTCTGCTCGGCAGGGAGCCTGCTTCTCCTCTCTCTGCCTGCCTCTCTGCCTACTTGTGATCTCTCTCTCTCTCTGTGTCAAATAAATAAAAAAAATCTTAAAAAAAAGAACAAAAGCTGTAACTATATGAGGTAATGATTGTTAACTAAACTTACTATGGTAAGTATTTTGTATTATACACAAATCATTATGTGGTACATCTTAAACTTATTCAATGTGATATGTCAATGCTCAATGAAACTGGAAGAAAAACAAAGATCAATGTCCAATAGCCTTTGGTACTCTTTGTGCAGAAGCAGGAAAGCCACTAGAAATAGCCCTTCTAGCAGCAGGCCTTGCCAATGGCTCTGAACTCCCTGGATGAGGCCAGCCAGGCATTCTATGTTTTTCTATCTGGCAGACAAGACAACAAAAACTGTTAGCGCAACAGGGACAGGGCCATCATCTGGGGTCTGTATTACCATGAACAGCACGTGCCTTTGACTCAGATCATGATCTCAGGGTCCTGGGATCAAGCCCCACTCTGGGTTCCCTGCTCAGCGGGAAATCTACATCTCCCTCTCTGGGATCTCTCTCACTCCCACTTTCTCTCAGATAAAACTAGAATCTGGCTTGGAATCAACATGGACTAGTTTACAGAATTCTTATTTTTCCCCAGGGAGGACTGTGTTAACAATGTCTCCAGCTTCTGACACCTGTCTTGCTCTCCACAACTCAAAAATGAGTGTATGTGGAACTGTACCTGCAAATATTCCCAGAGTCCCTAAACGTGCCCCCACTTGGCCAGGAAACCAGAGTGCATTCAGAGTAGCACTGCCCTCAACTCTCCTGCCCAATTAGGGCAGTGGCTTCTTGTTAAGTTTTTCGGGTTTATTTTCAATGTACAATTAAGCCATTGACTTTAATTGAATATAGAAGTAAAATGAATATAAAGCCCTGACCAAGGAAACAAAACACTTCTGGAAAAGCCAGCCCAAAGGGCCAAAGGAAAAGATGATAGTGACACAGAAGGTGACATAACGCATGTGCAAGTGCAGGGCTGGGCGGGCCCTGAGCAGATGGTGAGGTCAGCCACCACTGCAGGCCGTCCTCCTCCCAGCTTTGTCCTGATGGGACAGGGCTTTGCTAAGAACAAGCAAAGAGACAGAAACTGCGTTATTACATCAAAATACGGAGAGGTGGTTGAGAGGGAGTCAGATAAAGGGCCCCTCGTCTATAATCACCACCACCCCACTGTCCACTTCTTAAGCCTTTTCTCTCTCCGACTTTCAGAGACGAAAACAAACCCACAGAGAAACACTGTCAGCTCCCTGAAGTACTGACCTGATTTCCCAGTGGGAAGCACTGATTTCACTAATCTTTACCTTTCTTCCTATCTCCTTGTTATCTTCTTGGGACACTGCATACTGTGGGCTTCTAACTTTCATTTATTCTACATATCATGAAATTCATTTCTCTGAGAACTTAAATGCCAGGACCAGAACAAGCCAGGCAGTGGGGGTGCCCTGGAAGCCCTAACGAAGGGCTTATCTGTGAGTATGAAGGCAAATGGAAAAGTCTTCAAAATTATTCAAGGACCCAATTCAGTCATAAATGGCACTGTGAAAGGAAGTTGCCCAGAACTGACCACCCTCGGGACTACCCTGCCCTTTGCCTTTAACACTGGCTCAGCTATCACCCGATACCTGCTCCAGTGGTCAGACTGGAGAGGTGACCAGAATGAGGGCAAATAGGGCCTCCAAACTTCAGCTACCTCATAACTTTAAAAATCCCACTTCAGACACCTGAGAGGGGAGACTCTGACTGTCCCTTCAATCTGTAGGACAATTTACAAGGTTTTGTCTGCACTGGGTCTCAGCCAACCCAAACAACTCCTAGTGAGTCATGAGACAAGGACCCTCTAGTAGCAAAACACAATTCTGGCTAGAAAGGGACATATAAAAATGGCTTAGAGGACGCCCTCAGTTCTAACCTTACTAACTGGTTAGCCCTCAAGTGGATACTAATGTCCTTAGTTTGCAGATGAAGACACTGTGGCTTAAAGAGAGGGGAAGCCAGCTTCTAAACCTTCCAAACCACGCTGGTTACTATCTACTTGGACATCATTTACCTGGAAGGATTTACCAGGAACTTTTTTTTTTTTAATATTTTATTTATTTGACACAGAGAGAGAGACAGCAAGAGAAGGAACACAGGCAGGGAGAGTGGGAGAGGGAGAAGCAGGCCTCCCACTAAACAGGGAGCCCGATGCGGGGCCCGATCCCAGGACCCTGGGATCATGACCCAAGCCAAAGGCAGACGCTTAACCACTGAGCCACCCAGGTGCCCCAGGAACTTTTCTTTTTTTTTTTAAGATTTATTTGAGAGAGAGAGAGTGTGTGTGTGTGTATGCATGCAAGCAGAGGGACGGGCAGAGGGAGAGAATCTTCAAGCACACTCCCCACTGAGGGTGGACCACCCCCTCCACCCTGAAGCATGGAGCCCGACATGGGGCTCAATCCAATGACCCATTAAGTCATGACTGGAGCCAAAAGCCAGAGTCGGATGCTTAACTGACTGATGCTTAACCCAAGAGCCCCTTACCAGGAACTTATATGGATACTTTGCAACTTTGGGGGTTTTTTCCCCCCTCTTTCTTAGGTCAGACTTTCATACCATTCATTTCTTAAAAAATCAATTCTCCCAAACCTAAATTAATGTGGCTATCCTCTACAATGTAGAAATTTGGAGACCTTGACCTTGACTGCCCCTTCCATGTACTGGATCAAGCCTCAAGTTGTTTTTCTAGGAAAATCTTTAGACAAGCTAGCTCTCTATTCGAGCACCTCACCTCACGAGGCTTCTCAACCTGAGAGGCTGTTAATGCCATTAGCCAAATATTAAAGCGTATGGACCTACAGCTGACCATAGTTTACTTGTTCTCCACAGCACTTATCAAAATCTAATTTGAGAGAATATTTACAGAGACTGTTCGGTCCATCCACGGCAAATTCTCTGTAATGCTAGCCTAAGCGGCATCTCTCGTTTCCTGCCTGGCCCCCCAGTGGCTGCTGCATTCATATCCCACACCACCATCGGACAGACTGCTTAGCAGTATGGACCCACGGCTGGAGCAAAAATACATGTAATTTGCTGATAAGAACATTGTGGCCTGTCTGTGAAAATTCATAGGACACCAGAGTAGCACAACACATCAGCCGGGAGTCATAACTATGGTCTCTATAATGTATCCCCTCCTTAGCGCCGCCTCAGGGCAGTGTATGGGACCTTCCTCAAGTTCATACACAACCATCACCACACTCCTCACCCTGCCACCAAAAGCCTTACCAACTATTCACTCCTGTATGGCCCATGAGCAAGGAATTTCCTAAGAAACACCTCTATGAAGCTGACTGCTGTTTTATTAGGTTGTCAAGATAATCCTTCTTTACTCTGTATAGTATCCTCTCTTAAAATTCTCTCTGGTGTCAGTACTAGGAAAAGTTGTTTCTTCCTATCAACTCAATATTTTATGATACGAACATGAATCATATATAATTGATCATGATCCTTTCTCTATTTTGGCTGCTGGAAAGCTCAGAATAAATCTGTGGCCCATCCCTCTAGATTTCCTTGCCCGAATTCTTCAGTTATTTTTAT